ACTTTCCATATCATTTTAAACTCACGACATTTCTACTAAGTAATGATGATTTCTTATACATTTTGGTCTTTGGTTATAAGGCTACATTTTACGGATTTCAAGGAAAATATCGGATTTTTCTGAAACAAACGCGACATTTACATGTGAAAGACTTCTACTAAGTTTATTAATAAAAGCTTATGAACTCACCAACCTTTGTGTTGACACTTTTCAAACAACTTGTATTCTCAGGAAAACACTAAACAGGTAATCAAGTGCTTTTGAGGATGGGACGTTAAGGCGTCAAACTTTTCATATTTTGTCAACATATTGTAATTGATTTTGAAACATGTAATTCATACAAGTGATGTAACTTTTTCAATTATATATATATATATGTTGGTTGTGTTTGCTTAAATTACTATTGAAATTGTGGTTATGATACTATACATGAAGTCCTACACCCCCGGACGTTTCCGCCATCCTTGGTTTGGGGGTGTGACACCCTAGGTCTGTATTCCGCCCGCACGCCTGCTACTCACCCATACGATCCTGCTCTCAGTTGATAGGAATACCGCTGAATCCCCAAGCAGCTAAACAACCTCTCAAGCCAAACGACCATCCGGAGAGTTTCCAATTCTCCCCCACTTAAGACACTAACAATTAACCACCGGTCACCATCACCGACCTCCCAAAACAACCTTGTAGAAAACCCGACACTTACACGCAAATTGTTTCTCACCAGCACTAACAACTTTCATAAAAATCATATTTCCACACTGAACAACCCGATCGAAAGGAAACCAATCTTCAATACCCATTCCTCAGACTGCAGATGCTACCCGACATTCAAACCAACGCCGCATCCATCAATAATCCTCACAAAAGATAACCAATGAAAACCTGAAATACTAACCCATACCCATGCCAAAACCTCAAGGATCAACGGATACCAAAACAAAAACCACCCAACGAGACTAGCAGATAAACGATACTTCACAATAATCATAATAAACAAGACAACAAGAAAGAAACATACCCGCAGCTGCATCCGGCATTGCGCGAACCTCCTCCGCTGCAAGCTGCAAAGCACGACCCTAAACCCTTGGGGGCACCGCTCCATCCTGACCTCCACCTATGATCCTCAAAGTGGCCGGTGCTGGAGCCTGCACCGGTCCTGCAGCAAGCTGTGGACAGTTGACCCTCAAGTGTCCAACCTGATGACAATGATAATAGATCCTCAAATCCCGGACCGGCACTGACTGCTGACATTCCCTCGCATAATGCCCCTCCTTTCCGCACCTGCGGCATGCACCACCAGACCGACAAACTCCAGCGTGACCCCTTCCACACTTTCCACAGACGTTGCTACCCTGATCTCCCATCCTGGAATCAACGGTCTTAGACCGTTTCGTCGCCGGCTGCGACTGAATCGGAGCTTGCCTCAGCTCACGCATATGCAACTCAATCTCTAACTCACGCCGCCTGGCGGCCTACTGCAACTCCAACAAGGTCTCGCACCTCTGCGCGGACACAAACTGTCTGATGTCTCTCTTTAGCATACTCAGATATCGGGACATCTGAGCCTGCTCTGAAGTGAACTCAGGGCAAAACATCGCCCTCTCGGTAAATATCCTGGTGATTTCCGTCGCCGACTCCGACTCCTGCTTCAGCTCAAGGAACTCCAGAGCCAATCTCTCCCTCTCGACCTGCGGAACATAACGAGTGCTAAACATCTCTCTGAACTGATCCCAAGAAACCGCAGCCCTCTGCGCATCCGAATATGACCCCGTGGTCAACTTCCACCAATCCTTTGCCCCGAGCCTTAACAGGTTCAGAGCGCACCTCACCCTCTGATCAGCAGGGCATGAACACGTGAAGAAACATCCCTCCACGTCTGACAACCATCTCATAGCAACTATTGGATCCTGAACTCCATCAAAGGTGGGAGGCTTCGTATTATCGAAGTCCCGATACTGAAAACCTCCACTAGTTCCCCCCTGCCGCTGCTACAGCCACTGTAGCCGCTACGGCAGTCGTCTTCGTGAGAGCCGCATATCGCTCGTCAAAATACTCCACCATGGCGGTCTTGATCGACCCAAACAACTCCGGCGGATCAACCCGAAACAATGCAGCAACCTCATCATGCAGGATCTCACGAATCCTTGCATCCAACTCGCGCTTACTCATCTGACTGACAACCTTGGGCGGTACGGACCCACCCGGAACTCCCTCTCCTGCTCCTGATCCTGACCCGGATCCACTCCCAGCATGCCCTGAAATCTCCATACTGAAAATAAACCACCAAAAATCTCAGACACTTCCCACTATCCCGGGAACCAACTCTCAATCCAACCCTAGAGGTCATGCTTTCCCTGATACGCGTATGGGTCCTGTGCTTTCAGTAGTACGGGCCCAGACTACCTTCCACACCTACCCATATTTGTATGAAGTACTACCACAACACCCTAGAGAAAACACACATAGAAACGCTCTATCTTCACTACAAGAGGAACACTAGAAATCTCTCACAAGAAAACCCTAGGCTAGCATGCAACATAAATCAGGCAACACATCAAGAAATCCTGAAGATCCCTAGCCTAACTCTAGCATGTTGTTCTATCAAAGCTCAATAAAACAAATATCATGTATGGTATTTTCGGGTTACTTACTGGCTCCGGCTGATCGTACCTCCGCGTCCTCCTTTACTTATTTGGAAAACCATTTTAAATTCTCTTTTGAAAACCCTCCTCGATTTGAGACTGGAGTCACACGAGTTTTCGTCCAATTCACTCAAACCAAGGCTTTGATACCAACTTGTAACGACCGAAAAATCCAACCAATTTAAATTTTCAAAAACAACCCGATTTCATTAAATTATTACAAAAAGATTTGCAATACAAATCATTTAGAGTATTCCCAGAATCACATTTCTATAAAATCATGAGGAGCGGCACGATCACACCATCGCCTTGCCACGGTCTGCTGAAGAACCTGAAAAACATTAAACCACAATTGTAAGCCCGAAAGCTTAGTGAGATACCCCCCAAAATACCAACCACATATACCATACACATAACATGCTATCTCATAACGAATCACAAAACAGACATGCATATCGGGTCTACTGTGGGACTGGTCCGCCATGTCGGGCCTTCAGTCCACCTGGTCCACCCTCCGAGTCCAATCATGTACCTCGAGTCTGCAGTGTGGTTGGTCCGCCTGCACTGGGCCTTCAACTCACCTGGTCCACTCTCTAAGTCTACAGTACGACTGGTCCGCCCGCATCGGGCCTTTAGTCGGCCTGGTCCACTCCCCGAGCCTTCGACACGTCTGGTCCGCCCGCGTGGGGCCTACATCATATCTGGACCGCTCGCTGGGCCTTTGGAATAACCGGTCTGCCCTGGGTATCTTGGCCTACAGTACAAAGCAGGACCCGCCTCAACCCATCTCCCATCCAAACAACCATGTGCACATAAACATCTAATCATATAACAGTTCACATTCAAATAAACCGATCTAGCAGATTACATAGCATAACATACTCTAAGCAGGATACCGACCTAACAGGTCACTAGCATAGCATCTCCCTATCTCTCAGGATACCGATCTCAATCAGGTCTCTAACATATACCGTCCTAACTCTCGGGATGCAAGCATATCACAGCAACAAAATAGCAACAACTACCCGGATCTCAATCTGATAAGGGCCGACCTTGGTGCCTTAGACCCTGTTGATATAGTGAGGATAACTCACATCGAAACTGCCGGCTGAAAAGGACAAGATCCCGCTGCTCCAACTCTGACACGAACTCCTCCACTAAACACCAAAACACTCAATTAAATAAATACCCTTACTTACCAAAATACCCCTGGAAGACAACTGGTCAACCTTTGGACAATGGTCAAAGTCAACCCCTAACAAACCCTACTCACCGAGTCAACCCGATGACTCACCGAGTCCTCTTAATCGGAACTTCCCTCAATCCGAGACCTAACTCGCCGAGTCACCCCGAGACTCGTCAAGTCCACCAACTCTGAGTCCACTCTCTCACAACTCACCGAGTCATCCCTTGACTCGCCGATTCTTGACTCAACCAGAAAATATATTGGGACACTTCGACAAGACTCGCCGAGTCCAAGAACAGACTCGCCGAGCCTAAGGCTATCTTCAACCCACTCGCCGAGTTGTTCTTCCAACTCGCCGAGTTCCAGGCCATCTTCACGCAACTCGTCGAGTCCACCCATGCGACTCGCCGAGTACCACCGGTTTGAATCCATACAGAAGCATTCCAGGCCATGCAGATGATCCAAACCATAGGCCTACTTCTCCTAAGGCCATCCATCACGTAAAGTGGCAGTCTTTACGTGAATCCATGAAGATCTAGGCATTGCACACATTAGGGCTAAGGTTTGGGACAAGATAGCTTCACTACATACTCCATCACAGGGACTTTCAGGCATTTCAACCATTCTCTATTCCAGATCTGAGGTAGCAACCTCAGATCTAACCTCTAGACTCCAAAACACTAATAGATGTGATCTCAATACCCCCAAAAATGAAGAATCTAGACAATAGCAGCTCATGAACGAGAGGTTACCTCCAAAGAATGTCCCAACAACAATGAAACACGAATCCAAGAAAAACCCTTTGATCCAAGCCTCTTCTCCTTCAAGGTTTCTTCAACTAGCACTTCTCCAAGCTCCAATTTGCCCAACAATGATGTTCTTCCAAGAAATTACGGTTTCTGGGGCTCAAGGGGAATCAAAGAGGCTGGGGAGGAAACATAATGTTCTTTATATAGGGCTCATTCCCCGGATTTAGGGTTTTCTTCACCTAACACCTACTCGCCGAGTCCATCTTTGAACTCGCCGAGTAGGCCACCTGACACGCGACCAAAGTCGCGACTCTACTCGCTGAGTCCATCCATGGACTCGCCGAGTCGCCCTTCAAGACTTACACTTTTAGTCTTTCAAGACTTACACTTTTAGTCCTTCAACTCTACTCTTGCTATTCCGGGATGTTACAGCTTTTCGACATAGAGCTCAACATTTATGAAGCACATGTTGCTGTCAAGATTCTTAGATCTGAACATTTAAATGATGAAACATTGGGGAATGAATTCGCTCATGAAGTAGCCATGCTCAGGTAACTTTATTTTTAAAAACTCTATATTAAAACCCTATTAATTGAACTAATAAAAAAGGCTTTATGTGTGTATGTGTGTGAAGGGAGGTTCAGCATGCCGATGTTGTTCGTTTTATTGGTGCATGCATGAAGAAACCTCCTTTGTGCATAATAACAGGTAGAAAACTTCCATTAATTATATACTACATACATTTTGATTGTTTGATAAAATTTACAACATTTTTGGTAATTTTTTTATTATATATTCAGAATACATGCCTGGAGGGAGTCTTTATGAGTACTTACATAAAAACCATAGCATCTTGAAGCTTCCACAGTTAGTGAAGTTTGTTATAGATGTTTGCAAAGGAATGGAGAACTTGCACAACAACAACATAATTCATAGGGATTTCAAGACTGCAAATTTGCTCATGGACACTCAAAATGTAATAACTAGAAAGGCATCAATTACACTTTGACTTATTAGCTTGTTAACTGTTTCTCTCTCTCTCTTTTTTTTTTTTAATTTAATTTTAGGTTGTGAAGGTGGCAGATTTTGGGTTTGCCCGGTTTCTGAGTTAAGGGGTAGTTATGACAGCAGAGACTGGAATTTCATATCCCCATATCTATTTGAATAATCCTGGTAACATTTTCTTTCATGAAATTCCTCTGTTTTGTGTGAAGATTTAGATATTTGACAAATTGAAAGCCAAATTCCTTTATGTTTGAGTGATGAGATCTAACCTATCATTGCAAATGGTAATTTGATAAAAATGTTGCTGAAAATGTACTTATTATTCTTGTATCTGCTCATATTGGACAGGTGTTGACTTCAAGATTTAGATATTTGACAAATGTACTTATTATTCTTGTATCTGCCATGTTGAATCTTTAGCTACAACACTTTCTGAACATCGACAACATTTAGCTAGCATACAGGCATGTTAATGTTAATAATACTCACTGCTTTTCCTTATAATCAAGAATCATATAGTATTTATAGTTTTGCCCTTTGTTATCTTATGCAGGTGCTTGTTAATCAACTAAAAGGTGTTGCCCCCACAATACAAAATTCAATATCAAAACTTAATTAGTGAGGAAGTCAACACTATCTCAGCCAACCTTCCTCAAATGACAAATCACCATGGTAGATCCACCTTGCCCGTTCAACCACAAAGCACCGAAAGAAAAACAATATCTTTTTTTTCTTTGTTGTATATTTTACACACTTTTTTTAAATAGTTAGTTTTATAAAAAAACATTGATGAACAGTAATTCATTATAACTTATATGCAATGATCATATATTTTATTGTTTTTGCAGAGGTATTGATCTACGGTGTTCAGGCTGCATTTTAGCAGAGTTATTGGCTGGGAAACCTATCATGCCTGGTCGAACAGAGGTAATTAATTAATTAATGATAATATAACTTTTTTTTATTTATTTTGAGTTTGTGGGATGTGAAATGACTTTTGATCCTTTGTAATTAGGTGGAGCAGCTTTATAAGATTTTTAAGCTATGTGGTTCTCCTTCTGATGAATATTGGAAAAAATCTAAGCTTCCACATGCAACCATATTTAAGCCACAACAGTCGTATCGAAGATGCATTGCAGAGACATTTAAAGAATTTCCAGCATCTTCTTTACCATTAATTGATACCCTTCTTTCTATTGATCCATCTTAGCGTCTAACTGCAACGGATGCTTTGGGAAGTGAAATGAGTGTTTCGTGTTTATAACAAAATTTCTTATTATCCGTTGCGCATTCTTAGTGTTACTTTTTCGTTATTTATTGTTTTTTTAGTTCTTTACAACAAAACCTTACGCTTGTGATCCTTCAAGCCTTCCGAAATATCCACCTAGCAAAGAGATGGATGCTAAATTACGCGATGAAGAAGCTAGAAGGTGTGTGTTGTGAACTTTCCACCAAGTCAAATTAAAGAAACCATATTATGAGTATTATATGAAATTGTTTTTTTTTGTAGATTGAGAGCTGCTGGTAAATCAAATGTTGATGGTGTAGCAAATGTGTCCCTAATTTCTGGAAGATTTTTTGTGTTAGTTGGAGCAGGAGGTGCTGCAAGAGCATTAGAATTTGGTGCCAAAAGCAAAGGAGCACGAGTTCTGATTTTTAACTGAAACTTTGGTAATTAAACTTTAAAAGATGTGTTTTTTTTAATGTTAATGTTTTGAATCTCTTCTGTTGACTTTATAAAATTCCTAAAACAGAGAGAGCAGAGTCTCTTCCACGAGCAGTTTCAGGGGAGACTTTTCCTATCGAACAGTTGGATGCATATTGCCCTAAAATTGGAATGATTCTTGCAAATTGCTCTGCTATTGGCATGGAATTAGATGTACACCCAACACTCATTGATTTGTGATAAAATGATGAGAGGCCGCCTTGATCATAATGATTTTGTAGATTATAAGCAAACTAAATTTAGTTATCTGTTTGTATATAAATGAATGATCGATCTTGAGTATATACCAGTGATATTTGTTTTGATTATATATACCAACGATATTTGTGTTTATTATAATATCGTTTTGTTTTGGTGATTGAATAATTCAGGTGCAACATGTTTATTTCCTAAACTGGATATTAATTACCTCGACACAAAGGATTATCTTGGTATGTATTTTTTTCCCCTTTTGACCTTTTTATTAGTTTTTTGTGCATATTCACATTGTCCAAGGCATTAAAATATGTTCTATCCTTAAACTTTTGAAGTCTTTTCTTTTTCTATGTTCTTGGCTATTGGGAAATGTTGATTAGTACGATATCACTTATTTTCACTCTAGATCATGTTTTGCTAACCTATTCATTCAAATTGTTGTCTTATGGTCTAATTATGGGAAGAACTTGGAGCCATTTTTCTGCAACAGATTATATTTGCACATTGCAGGTAAAAATATTGTCTTGTTTAATTTGCTGATTGTTTAAAAATTACAGAGATGATTACCGTCATTAACTTGTATCTTATAATGGACTGGTTCTTAATCATAAAGAAACACCACTGTTGCAAGTGAAATTTTCACCAGATTTGTGTTTGGGTAATTGATTATTGAAACAAATGTTGTAAAGTATATAATATAATAGTTGAGGTTAGAATGGTGATTTTGTCTAATTTATATGATAGATGTGCAGGCGAGAAGTTTTTGTTGCTGATACGAGTGAAAGCATGAAGGAAAACACAATTGAGGTTACAAAGAATGCAGTGGTACAAACATTTTAATGGCTTTAAATTAGGTTATTGTTTTTTTTAGTTAATTGGGTTTGTGAATAATAGTAATGATAACAAACACTGATAAGAACATGTGTTACAGAAGAGGAAACAAACACTGATACGAACATGTCAACCATGTTTGATGTGTTGAGAAGGAACAGAACTGTAAAGCTTGAAACTTTAGTCCTAAACTGTAAACCCTGGTAATCATAATTTACTCTCACTTCCTAGTTCATATTTATATATATTTTCTATGTACCATTTCTTGTCGTTTTCCTCCTTGACCTGGTAATATCATCAATTTGTTTCTTTCTACTTAGTATTTCTTACTGGTTGTGAACAAGCCTCTCATCTCACATTTGAGTTTATAGGAATCAACAATCACTGTGAAACTTCTAGTGTTTAGATTTCTTATTGGTTGTGAACATTTGTTTCTTCCCTTTCTACCCTTCACTTGCAGGTTGATGCTTTGTCAAGAATGTTCAGACTATTTTCCAAAACTACCCCACGGATCGGATCCTATCTCTAGTATGTTTAAATAGGTTTGTGATTTAGGAGTTGGATTCTATTTTTTTAAAGTAGAATGCAGTTATTTGTATTTGTTATCTGTTTTTATCTTTTTGACGCAATGCTGCATGTTGCTGCTGAAGGCACAACCTTGGTCAAACAGGCAGAAGATGCTGCAAGTAATAAGAAGGCAGAAAAGAGATTGTAGGTTGATCCTGCTACATAGCCAATAATGATCTTTAGGGTCTGCTAGAACGATTGGAGATTGCAGTTAAGCTTCTATCTAAGACTTCACGCCAAGGACTTGATGAATTTAAGCTAGCAATGTTTTACTTGATTTGGACATGAACCCTAAGATATCATATTTTGGCATGGCTAGAAGCTTTGGAGGAAACGAGACTCAAGAAAAAGTAAACACACAAAGAGTTGTTGGCACATAGTAAGCTAGATAATGTAATTGTATATAAATGAGTTCATTTTTTTATAACATTTACTCACTGTTGGAATAATTATTTGTATTTGACATATTGGTGAAATGAATTATCTTTATTATTTATGGTATTTTATTTTGTATTATGAGATTTTTAATGTATTATTTAATTTGAAAATTAGTAAACCTATAAATAATATTTTTTTTTAACATTTAAAATTATGATACGCAAAAATGTGTGTCATCTTCATTTATGACATGGCCTTTCTTGACAGGGGCTTTCTTGATATGCATTGCGTGTCATTAACACATGCGTCGTAAGGTTACGACACGCGAATGCGTGTCGTCTACCTTTATGACAGGGCCTTCCTTGATACGCATTGTGTGTCGTAAACGCGCGTCGTAATTGTGCATCGTAAATGCATGTCGTATCTCTTTATGACATGGCCTTCCTTGACGCGCATTTGCGCGTAGTCTGAGCCTTTTACAACGCGCAATGAGCGTCGTAAAAGGCTATTTTTCTAGTAGTGTAAGAGAATGTATATGAGATAATCAGTTTAGAAAAAAGATTTTTATGTAAAGATATACACACGATGCTAACTTCAAAAATAGATAGATATAAATATAAATTGTAACTGATTTATTACTTCATTATGGAATGAAGAGTAAATTTTGCTGGAATGAGATCCAAACAAAACATAATAGCACAATCTACTACAAAATAAGAATACATTGCTACTTCAAAATCTGCAATCAAATATGATTTGATATATGAGTTTATTAAAAATCTAAGTTAAGTCCTTCCATTCAATGATAACCTAGAAATCTTTTGTGAGATTAAGAGTATACTTAATCAAGCTAACAGACTCTAATTCACATAAGAACACCAATCATATTCTCCGGGATATTTAATTATACTTAGAATAAAGTTAAATATGAAGATGATAATATTTGCAAAATTCACACTAATTAAATTTAGTAGGACCCATTAATAAAGTCTTTCCTTAAGCTAAGCATGAATGGTCACACTTGAGCTATAACACTTTGTTATTCTATAAATGGGATTTGATTTGGATTTAGTATTTGGATATTGGAAACAACAACTATTGTATTGTTTTGATATATTAGGATATGATCTTCACAATAATACTTGTTGTGTTCTATATTAACATGTTTAATCCATGAATAATATAATTATTCTAAAAGTTTATAGTATGTTATAATCATGGGAGAAATTATGAAGTAAGACTAATATGAATTGGATTGGTTGCCTCTCATTAGATGAAAGTAGGAAATGGGTTGTAACCAAGATTCATAGGTACTTGTTAGAGAAGTAGTATTGGATGGACCTACATTAGGATCATCTCATGGATCAATATCATGTGTGATACTTGATAAAAGGTATTATCTTTGTATCCTTAATACCTGAGATACATAATGTGACCTAAGTGTACGGAGTGTTATGATTTGATGTAGTCAAACATTAATCCTTAACGGGGTAGTTATAAAAGCCATTATCAGGTGTGGTGTGAACTATGCAAGAGGCTTATGTAGTCCAGATGATATTTTTCCATCTTATATGTTGAGAGCTAGACATCTAACATGTGTTACGTAAAGTTGAACATGAAATGAGATTGATGTGATCCAAGTCTCATGTTTAACATAATGTCTGTAACAAATGGATAACCAATAAACTTACCTTATACATCAATTGTAGCTTTGAGCTTTTTGGAATTGGATGCTAATGAATGATATTATTTATTATATGTTATTGGGGGAAATGAAATATTGTTAGACGTTCTTCACTTTCTATGTCAATCTATGTTGAGTCTTGTACAAGTAGGAGACTGAAAGATCTTTATGTCCAAGAGTCGTTATGGAATGATATTTGCTAATGACATATGATCTTATATGGTCACATTTTATAGAAAGTTACTACAAATAGATTATTTATTAGAATAATTTTGATTATTAATAAATATCAAAAATTGTATTTATTTGGAAAAACATTATTTTATGAAAATAATATTTTACCATCATATTAAGAATTATTATTTCTAGAAAATAATAATAAAAAGAAAGAACACTAGTAAATATCATATGGTATGATTATTAATATTATGTACTATGTTTTTGGCACTTTGAGTACCCACAGTTTAACATGTGACTAACTAGTTTTAGATGAAGTATAGCACATTCCAATATCTTGACTTTCTTAAAGAAAGTCGTAGATCCTCTTCTTAATAGAGAGGTAGTGTGTTGGTCTTATTACTTCCATACCATACTTGTATATAACCCATGCTTTCTTTAACGGTTAGATTTGACTCAGTATAAAAAGAAAAAAACACGTCAAAAATCTAGCTAGTTTTTTTCACAAGAATTTTCTTCTTATTTTTCTCTCCAAAACTGTGAGCTAGGAGCTCACTTTCCCTCTCATTCTTTCAATTTGGTGTTAGAATTAGGAGCTTATATGTTGCTTCTCTATAAGGTTTATTTGGTATAAACTCTTAAGGATTAAGAAAATTATATATACAAGTGAATGACTAGTATCTATTGTAGTTTATTGGTGTTTGGTAGATATTTGTAGAGAGCTTCTCCTTTGAAGCTTCATGCATCATTTCATCAACTTCCATCTCCTATAAGAAACAAAGTTTTCAAATGTTGTAACACTTTATTTTCTACGGTTGATTTAATCTTTAATTGATTATAAAATGATCTTTAGTAGGTTAAAAAGAGTTTTAAGTTTATTCTATTTTTAGACTTTCGTTTCCGTTTTTAGCATTTTTTGCAAAACGATTTTGAATATAATCCAACATTCTATACCATGATGATATTTTTATGTTCTATAGTTTATTTAGGCCTTTTTATTATTAGTAGTTATTATATATTTATAGTGTTTTTTTTTCATATTTAAAGATTATTGGTCAATCAGTATATGAACGACTACATAAGGTGGAACATGGAGAAATTGAGACCAAAACATAAGATATGGCCAAGATGTCTATCGAAATCCTAAACCTTATCTAAGGAAATAACTTATCCATCTAATTAGAATTTGTTATTTTTGATTTCTGTGATATGGTTTTAATGGTTGAAATCGAATATGGATATTTGTTTTGTTAGTTGAATTTGATATTTATTTTTGTAGTTCTAAACGATGATTTAGTTTTGGGGTATAAAAATGGAATTTCATTTGTGAATTTTGGTTATAAAAATAGCGACATATTCAATGACCAATTAAACATAAGACAGATTAACGACCATATACACTGGTCCCTAAGCTAATCAGCGACGAATTACCGATGTAAATTTGCAACGGAATTCAGAGGTTTGCTGAGTAATCTGCGTTGTCGCTAATCCCTCTATCAATAGCGACAAGGGTTTTTTCAACTGACAATTTCGTCGCTAATAGCCTTAGTGATGGATTAGTGATGAAATTGTCGCTGGTATCTTAGTTTCTAGTAGTGGAAGGAAAAAATGTTACATCATTGTTTTCTTCTTTTTCTAACTTTAAAAAGAAAAATGAAAAACATACGCTAATACCTAAAAAATGCAACAACATAACACATTTAACAAGTGCTTTTAACTAAAAAAAAAAATCATTTTTAACAAAATAATAATAATAATAATAATAATAATAATAATAATAATAAAATGAAACAAATATTATGGTCAAATAAGAAAAAGATTGTTAGAATTAAGAAGCGATAATGCCTATGGTCTTTGCAACTAAATATGATTTTTTAGTGTCATCAACCATCGAAAAACTTATAAAAGACATTGAAGATGGTCCGTCACATTGAGTTTGTTACCAACGGTTACAATCAATTGAAAATCTTGTTCAATATATTTTTATGCTTATATACTTTTACCACAACTAATTGTTTAGTTCCGAGAAAAAAAAAAATCTTTACATTATAGTTTTTCCTTGTTCCAATTTTAACAAAATAGTAAAAAAAAATACAAAAGACAAATAAAAATGGGGAAATGCAACAAAATATAGTATTTGACAACATTTCTAATAAAAAAATGTCTTTTACAAAAGAGTGAAAAAAATACAAAAATTTGTTATAATGGTTAAATAAAATAATTATTATAAAGTTGGGTAGTTGTAATAGGAAAAAATATCATTCTATCATGCTAACCAACAATAAAAGTTCATGGTGGTCGTTGTGAATTTATTTTAAAAACAAAGTGGCTGTTATTGATAAATT